AGAGAGAGAGAGAGAGAGAGAGAGAGAGAAAGAGAGAGAGAGATGGAGAGAGACAAAGAGAGAGACACAGACTGACAGAGCGAGGTAACTAAGACGTGACCACACATTGCAACTTTCACTTACATTTTCCTCCGTTACTTGAAATTAATGGACGTCAACACAACAAATGGCTTGCACTGGGCTCTGACAATACTTCAATTAACAAGTTAACTCGATCAACTGTTTCACAGTACTGAGGAGGAGTCACTTCTCTCACCCACTTCTCAGAAATCCGGGTTCTCCGAACGACGTAATAGCGGCGCACACGGCACACATATACAGCTCAGACTAACTTACGCGACAAACACTAGGGCTGGGCAATGAATCGCTTTAGCAAAATCCGGATAATATATTAGTGCCCCTCTTCGGCAAATAATATGATATGAACCGCTTCAGCAAATGGGTTGGAACCACTTCAACAAACGGATTAGCATCACTTCAACAAACGGGTGCACCCACTTCGGCAAGCGGGTCAGGAAAGAGAGTTAAGAGTCAGAATTCGGACAATGTTTCATTGAGAATTATCCGGTTATCCTTATAGTTTATCCGGATTTTGCCCACCTCTAACAAACACACGATAAGCGAAACTTGTCTGCACAACCTGTTTCAAGCGAACGACCAAACATCCGTTGGCAGATTATGAAGAAATCGGGGAAGGAAAAAAAAAGTGAACTTGATACAAACCACGATGATTCGGCGGTTCCTAAATCTGGAGCTAACACGTATGCGCGGTATATATTTAGCCCATATAATATAATAATATTATTTTATAAATATGTACATATAAGGAAAGGGAACTATATTATAAGAAATATTTAAAGATAGGTGAATAGAGTAGACATATGCTCTTTCGGATAGCAAAATGCTGCAATATCATCCCACGCATCCCATCCTACACTTTCCACCCTACACACCACCTATCCCCCCTCCCCCCTTTCCACCCGAAGTTCCTTTCTTTCAATAATATTACTTAGTATTAGTCTTAGCTTCTAATATATAATATCTTTTCACCGTGTCTAATAGTTATTGAGTCGACAACGAGGACAACAATACAGTGGCAACCGCAAAAACAATAGCAACAGCAACAGCAATAGCAACAGCAATAGCAACAGCAACAGCACCACTTCCAAAGCAATAACAGGTGTACGGGTGGTGGTGCGCGATTACAACAAATGACGAAACACATTTTTTTTAAAGACGTCCGCTATTGCGAGAGCGTTACCTTAATCCTATTGCTTGAGGAAGGGTGTACACTACGCTTAGACGGTTAGTATAAGAACGTATAAGTGTACACCTTTCAGATTTAGTTGAAATCGCATATTGACGACGGGTAGACCTTGCTAACTTATTTCTAAATTGATGATAATTTAAACTTCAGCCAATTTGATTTTTCAGGTCCAGCCGTTTAGGGTGTCTTAGGACGGTCGAAATGTATTCGTGATCTTTAATTGATTATTATACGGGTATTATCCTTTATATAAAAATATACCTATTATGCATCGACCCATCAACTTTTGGGCCCGGTTGTGTAGAAGTCAATCACGTCGACCAAAGAGGAAACTGATTATCTGTCCCATTTCTATTGTACTATCCGAGGTAAATACTATACTCGTAAGGTACTTAAGCAGTAAAAAAAAAAAAAAAAAAAAAGAAAGCTTTCGTCATCAACTGCTAACTCTGAGAACGAGAGCGACTCGTCCGTTGTGCTCTCAAGTGTTTCGTTTTCTGCTTACGCAATTTCTGTTGGGAAAATGTAATTGTTTGATGGTTTATCTTTTGTTTTGTTGTGTTTTTGTTGTTTTTTGTGTTCATTTCTGGGATTGGGTTTTTATCTTTAAGTTATTGAGTGTGTGTTGCTAGGGGAAGAGGGGGGGAATCTATCATATTTTGTTTAACGTGTGTC